CCCCCCCCCCCCCCCCCCCGCCTTGTTGAGGTCGGAGCTGTTGCAGGAATTAGTTTGTTCCTGACGAAGTGCCGCTTTACCTCTCCATTCAGTGCTCCAAGGCATGCACATTTCCCGGGGGTGCTGCTTTGTCCCTGGCTTCTGGCCAAGAGTTCAGTGTTGGGGGAAAAAACACCTCCTGGACAACTAATCCTGCTTTAATATAAACTGCAGAGATTAATAATTTCTGAAAGCTCATCTTTCCTGTAACTTAATTGTAGTGATTTAGCACTTTCAGCCTCAGTGAAGTGCAGGTGCAGGTAATAACTGGTGTCCCGGATGGGCAGGCCTTGATTGAAGCAGTGAAGTAGTTTGTCATGGTAATGGAATATGATTATTGTGGAGGCTGAGTGGGGACATAGTATGAGGGTCAAACTCTATGGTTGATGAAGAAATTAACCAGTTATTATGATTGCAGAGCTTTCCTTTGTGCTGTGGGAGTAAAGCAGTGGGCCTAATTCTTCTTTTTGTGAACGTCTTGTGGATGCCTGTCTTGACTGGAATTAATTTAAAATGCTCCTGTTGGGCTGAGATAGGAATACATGCCACCCATTTCACACTGGCTTTCCAACCATTTGAATAAAGGCAGCCTTTCAGGAGATGTAGAGGTTAGGGTGGCTTAGGTCTAATCTCTCTTAATTTACTTGAAACTGGATGTACTGTTTTGATTAGCTAAATGTCTAACTTCAAGCTTCCTTAAACTTAGTTTGAATCACTCTAGCTTGTTTGGCAGTTGACTGAATGAATGTAAAAAAAGTTAGTTAGCAAATTCACTTAGCAAAATTAGTATAAATTCACTTACAAGAGACAAGGCCTTGAAAATATGTTAGATAACTGAGGGTGCCACATTTGTCATTTTTTTGTTGTTCAGCTGTCAGGAAGCCCTCTTCTTCAAATTTGAAAAATTTGCTTAGGCATTTGAGTACATGCCTTTGAAGCCACAGAATATTTTGTCATTGGTATTGACTGTTAGGAAAGCAGTTCCTAAATATGCTTAAAGTCTAATTTAGAAATTTGGTGTGTGCATGTTTAAATTATTTCTGTTATCATCATTAGGCATCTCATGTTTAGTCTGTGTTCCTTATCTCCGGGAATTTGAAGGTTTATTCCACAGGATTATTTTCTATCTCTGAATTTTTTAAAGCAGCAGTTAAAAATGAAGTGATAGCACTACATTTTGTGAGAGGCAATAAAGGTGAGTTTAAAAGGAGATCATTGAGGGATGTACTTGTACAATGGCAGAGGAGAAAATGTGAAAGGATGTCTGGAACATGGCCAGTGTTCATATTGTAAAAGGTGCATCAGACTGCAAGGAGATACCAGTTGGCAAGAGTTTTAAGGACCTGTCTTAGGGTAAAAAACTGAAATTATAGGGTCAGAAGATAATTCATGTCAAAAGGGACTTGAGGAAGTTTAAAGGAGTATCAGGCCAGACCAGGTTGCCTCAGGTTTTATCCAGTCCTGTCTTGAAAACATTAAAGTATGTGCCTCTCTGGGCAACCTCAGTCATGGCTTCATTGGCCTCACTATAAACAAGCTTTTCTCTGTATCCAGTCAAAATATCTCTTGATTCAGTTACCAGAAGGAACAGTTTTCTCTTGTTGGGACTTTGTAAGGACTTGGTATCTCAGGGACATCGAGTGCTTCTGATTCCTTGGACATCAGTGGAAGAAGTGTGTCCTTCGTGCCAGTTAGGCATCTGATAATAGCAGTCAGCTTTGACATTTTGATCTAAAAATGGGGTGAACTTAGCTCTGATCTTAAAAGTAGTGAATATCAGTGGTAGAAAGGGAGATTCATCAGTCAGTCTTCCAGCAAGCTTGGTTATCAGTTTTGTGCCATGTGCCTTGTGGTAAGTTTTGTGGCCTGTTCATGCATCATCTAAGCTAACAAATTCATTGGTAGCCTGGGATATTGGTACCATTCTGTTGTGAAACTTTACAGTGTCAGTACAGGATGAATGTTAAAAGATACTTCTGTTCTCTCCTACCACGTAGAAAAAGTAATTTGCAACCTTCAAAAGTAATCAATGTTCCTGCTGAACTGAATCATTACTGTGGCATTTTAAAAAATGGGCTTTTAGTGCAGAAGAGGATTAATGCAATGTGCTTTTTTCCGTTCTTTATTTTTAGGGGTTGGAAAGACTACTTTGATCCAGAAAGTCACTCAGGCTCTAAAATCCTCCAGCATTCCCATTGATGGATTTTACACACAGGAAGTTAGAGAAGGTGGAAGGAGAACAGGATTTGATGTTGTCACTCTGTCTGGAAACCAAGGACCTTTATCTAGAGTCAGGTACTGAAGTTTTAATAACTGTAAGCAGCTTATTGTTTTATGTGTCTGCTCCAGTCCTTTGGACTGGAGCATGTTAAATGCTCCTCCAGAAGGTGATTTCCGGCACACATGGCTTTCAGAGTCAAATTCTTTTCTTGGTTTTTGTGTCCTGGCTGATACCTATATTGTATATGTAGGCAGTGTCTGTTGCACAGTGAAATATTGAAAATGTGCTGGGCAGGGGTGTTCTCCCTTACTAGCTATTTTACACCAGATAGAGGAAACACTACTGAGGCCAGGTCCCTTTGGGATGCAGTTAAGTAGCTTATTGTGGGCAGGGAGAAAGATTTTTATGTTTCCACTAGCTGATTTATGGTGACTGAAGTGGAAAATGAAAAGGGAAATTGCATATAGCATTGTTTTAAAGAACATTTGACTGGTCCACAAAAGTCGTCTGAATTTTAAGAAAAAAAAAGGTTTCAGAGCCCCAGAGTGCCTCACGCTCTTTCCTGATTCACTAGACTTAGATTTTCATACTTAGTGCAAAACTTGGTCTATATCCAGTGTGACCTTAGCACCTCATTCACACAGATTTGATGTGAAAGTAATTTGCACTCTGCTAATAATGGAGGTGCACCTAGCACAGTGTGGTAGAGCACATGCAAAGTGAGTATTTTTCCCAGATTAAGGGTTTTGCAGCCCATACAAAGATGATATTGCTATGATGCTGTCTGTAGTGTCACATAACAAACTTCAAAGATCTAAACTGCAGACATGAGTTTTGATTTCAGTGTAAATATACCTGCTGACTTTTAAATGCCATTGTCCTTCTACAGACTGTTGAAATTGGAGCTTGTAAAGTTGTGAGGGATGCATATGGAATATTTATTTTCTGACAGCAAGCTGTCTGCAGTATGACTTAGTGCATGGTTTAGAATTTCTTTCCTGTCCTTAGGAAGAATTAAGGGGATTTGATTTATTTGGATAACTTCTTATAAATTTGCTTGAAATGACTGCAGTGAATTCTCACTAAACTCAGTACTTTGAAGGAATTGTGTATCTCTTTTTCAGTCCCAGTTCTGATTCTTCTGCTTCAAGACGTGAATACCGGGTTGGACAATATGTTGTAGACCTTGTTTCATTTGAGCAGTTGGTTCTACCTACGCTGAGAAATGTGAGTATTCTATGAAAGCTGCTGATAAATGTATGCTTTATGATAGTCAGTGTTATTGGAAGGCCCTTTTACACAGCTAATTTTTGATACTAATTAATGGCCTATTTCTTGGGTATTGCTACTTCTGATGTAAGTCATGGTCAGGAAGCTCGAGTGGCAAATCTGGCTTGTTCTCTTGTCATTATTGTGATGTTGGAGAGATTGCAGTCCTGTCAGCAGGACCTCCTTGACCTGAAGAGGCAGCAGGTAGGAAATTTCTTCCTATGTCACTGTCTCATACTGGAAAGCAAACAAAATGCACAAGTGGCTTACCACAGAGAAATGGATGGAATCAGTGCGTCTAAGAAAAAGGCTTTTGCTGCTGCTCTTCTTTACAGACTTTTCCCCCCCCCCCATTCCTCTGATTCCCATCTTCCGAGAGTCGAAGCATTTTTTTTCTTGAATCCAGTGAGTGTTTTTGATTACTATTGTATAAATACCTGCAGACTGGTAATACCAGCCTGATTATTTGGGATTTAGCCTGCTGCACAAGGAGTGTTCTGGCTGTGACAAGACTTCCCACACAATCTTTTTGCTATCTTTTGGTAATATTGTGTCACTGCCTTTTTTCTTCTCCTTCCTCTCTCTCACTCCAACCTTTTCCTGCTCCAAAATTAAACAAGAACATGTTTGATTTCAGCGATAACATACCATAAACAGTGTGCAGCAGCTGCTGAACTGTACTACTAAAAAAATCCTGTTGTGATTTTTCTACACTGCTAAAGCTCAAGGGGACAAGGAAGAAGGGATTTTTTGGTGAACTTAAAAAGCCCAAAGAGGTGCAAGGAGCAAAAATGAGATTGAGGATCTGATTCTTATTTTTGTCAAAGAACATTAAAGTGTGAGAGTAGGAAAGCAAGGATGTTGGGACAAGGGAGAAGGGAGGTAATAAAAAATGGTACAACTTTTATATGTTAAATTTCACTGTAACCATATATTTATGATGTTAGTAAATAGAAAGATGGTTTATTTAAAAATACTTCATTAAGCCAGTGCTGTACTTGAAATCCTTTTACCACTGCAATCCAGGAGAGATCTTCTTAGAAAAGTGTTAGCAGTGTTGAATTTTTCCATTACTTACAAGTGTTGAATTTTTCCATTACTTACATAGCTTTCTGCAAGTACAAGAAAGTGAAGAACTGGGGTCAACAGAGTCACACAGCATGTGCCCATGCTCTTAGAAAGTGCTGTTTATCAGTTTTGTGGGAATGTGGTCACACATGAAGATGGCCCAAAATGGAAGTGGAGAGTGAGGAAGATGAGAGAACTGAAACAAGGAGAGACAAATGAAGGACAGTGTCATAGATATGTCCTGGTTTGATGAGAGAGCAGCACAGAATGGACACATGCCCATTTAGGCTTGAAGACAGATTCAACTCTTTAAGGCTTTTTTCACTCCAGTGAGAATGGGCTAGATCCTGCAGTGGAAGATCTCTCTGGTTCTGCAAACTTTTGTCAGGCAGGACAGATAGTTTTTTCAGGTTTTTTTTTTTCAAAGCAAAATACTCTCTTCCTCACTATGTGACCTATGAGTAGTATTGGCTTTTTGGCTCACTGATCTATGAAAGGGTTTTTAGATAAAACAGCTGCTCAGTAGGGACTTAGCTTGAAAGGATTTTAAGATGCATGTTATACAGTTCTTTCACTTTCCCAGAAGCAAATACTTTGCCTTCACAAGGGGATATGTTTCGATCTTTTTTTTTTTTTTCATTTTTTTTAAAATTTTTGTTTTGTTTTGGGTGTTTTTTGGGTTTTTTTTTGTATTATATGGCTTGTATTGGTACATATTGATAGATCAGTAATGGTTTTGAATTGAGTTGATTTTCTCCTCACTTCCACAAATAATGGAGTATGGTTCTGAGTCGCTTTTACCAAAATAGGGTAGGCAGTGCAGCTGAGGAGTTCCTCTGCTTTGTGAGCTGCCTTTTCCTCAATAGCAATCACCCTTGTTTTCTCCTGGACTTCCCTGCTGCTCCAACCGCCTGCAGCATGGCACTGCTTGGCACAGCATTCATTTAGTGGGAAAACCAGAATCCTCAAATGTGGTTAACTGTGTCTCTCCTACTATCCAGTGGCTAGGACTACAGAATAAGGTATATCTCAATATGTATCTGCTGTAATGTGAGAGAGGTGTTGTGGTGAACTCTCCGTGTGTGGAGACACGAGGCTTGACTCCATTTCAGAAGGCTGATTTATTATGTTAAATGTTATATTGAAATACTACATTAAGAATATACTAAAGAACAGAGAGATCAGAAGGCTACAACAAGAACAGAACAGAACAACAAAAACCTGTGACTGCTCACAGCCTTGGCACAGGTGGCTGTGATTGGTCATCAATGGAAAACAATCCACATGGACCAATCATGGATGCACCTGTTGCATTCCACAGCAGCAGATAGTAATTGTTTACATTTCTCTCCTGAGGCTCCTCAGCTTCTCAGGAGAGGAAAAATCCCAGCACAGGATTTTTCATAATATCATGGCTACAGAGAGGTTTGCAAATGGCTAGGTTATAATCCAGACAGCTTTTAAGACAGCCAGTACCTCTGAGTGAAATGCTCCATCATACCAACTACAAGAGGAGAAACTTCAAAATCTAGATTTAATGGAAGTCTTCCTTTTTAGATACCTGTTTTGTGTGACGACTGATCACATAATTAAGTGTAATCACTACATGCATAATTTAGTGTGAAGAGTAAAGTTTTAAACATTGCAGACCCTCAGAATGATTGAGAGCTGCTTGCAAGCAAAGTGCAATTCTTAACTGTCAAGTAGCTCATATGGGACCATTGTGAGAATTCTGCTTTAAAGGAAATCTCATGTTAAGGATATTTCCTGTTGTAGTTTGTATTTATACTGTATGGTTGTTTCCATCCTTCCAAAAATCTGTCCTAAAAAAGAAATTACAGATTTATAGTCTGTCATTTACAAGCAGTAGCTTTGACTTCCCGCTCTCCCCACGATTACAGTTGAATTTGTTTCTTTTGGAGGTATTTCTTTTGTCAGCATAGAGATTACGTATGCTGCTTGTTCTAAGTTTTGCTTTTTACAGTCTCTTGGTGCACTTTTCCACAGGTAAACCATGGTGGTGACGCAGAGAAAAGAATTTGTGTCATAGATGAGATTGGTAAAATGGAGCTCTTCAGCCAGGCTTTTATTCAAGCTGTTCGTCAAACGCTGGCTGGCTCAGGAACCGTGGTGCTTGGAACTATTCCAATACCTAAGGGAAAGCCACTGGATCTTGTTGAAGAAATAAGAAGTAGGAAAGATGTTAAAGTGTTCAATGTGAGTAATATTTAATATCCTTAAAGAGCCTTCTGTTCTAGGTTACTGGTTTATTTGTCTCTGTTTAAAAATTGTTACTGCCAATTGATAGCTGTGGGTAGCTTGCATGAAATAAGTTTTTTAGTTTCCATTTTATTCTTAATGGGCAGGTGTTCACCTTATTAAAAAAAAATTCCATTTGGCACTAACTGTAGCCATCTCACACAGCTGGCTTTGCCTGTGCAGGGCTGCAGAAGTAATACTATAGTTATTTTAAAAGGTTTCCTTGCTGTAGTATTATTACTGCATAGGTATTCATTATTCCTAAGAGTTAAATCTTCTAAAGTACAGTCAGATTTTTAAGCTTTTTTTGGTTTTTTTCCAAACTGGCTTGCAAAAATATTACCAGTAGTCATATACAAGGAAAAAATAAAAGGAAAAAAGCAGCAGTGGAGTTTGCAGAGTGATTTATAAAAGAAAGACAGTTGTAAATGGAGTGTACTTTCCCTGGAGTCAGTGAATCAATTTTGGAATTCATTATGTTACTTTTACAGGCATAATTTTCAGAATATTAGGGTCTCAGAGTAGATTTCTGATCAGTTACAGGGCAGTTCTCAAAAACTTACCACAGCAAAACAGCCTGTTCCTAGGAGTGCATGTGTGAGGTTTCCTTAACATCAGTAAGTGTCCTCAATGCTTCACAAAAAACAAAGGCACCTCCCACTCCTTTGATTTGTGTTGTTTTCTATTCAAAGCTGGCTTAAAAACTTGCAGTGTTCAAAGTTCCTCAGCTTTACTTTAATTGAGGGTCCCATCATCATCTTCAGTTTCTGTTTTTACCTTAAATGCTGATTTAATTAAATGCTAAAGCAACTGTAGGAGCAAAGATGAGAGATTATTCCTTTCTTTGTGTAAGCATTCAACTCTCTTCACTTCTTTCAGAGATAAACCCCCAGGTTTTTCCACTACTGAACTGATGTGTGTTTGTAGTCAGGCTGTTGAACAGAAATGCACATAAATGTGAATTTTGTATGAGTAGCTTTACGGGGCTAGGGTTGGGGAAGACGGGATGGAGAAGCCTTGCTGAAAGTACCAGTCATCATTCAGTGCTTGGGCTGCAGTCATGGCAGGACACAGTGCACACATTTGGTCCTCTCATGAGAGGAAATAGGGCTAGAAGACAGCATTTGGCTTTTCAAGGAAGCTTTTGAGGCTTTTACTGTCTCTTTTTATCAGGTGCTATTTGGAGGACATGGGCTACTCAGCCCTGGGTTTTCAGCTGTATCAGTCTGCTGATAGATCTTTCTCTCAAGTACTGACTCCAGCCAGCAAAAGTCTTTCTGTAAATGTCAATGGAGCAGTGTTTTCTCTAGCTAAAGGATCTTTACTGAAACAATGACCCATCCTGTTCACGCTGCTGAGATTAGGTCATGCAGGTTTCTTGAATTAAATAGATATCTCTGGTGAATCCATTAACCAAAAGCATAGATGTGAAACGTGTGACAGACTGCAGTCATTCCCAGGTGTCAGAGACCTGCTGAGCTGAAGTCTTATACAGGAGGGCATCTGTGCTCCTGTGACACACTACATGCTCTTTCCCAGCTGGTTCAGATGTGTGCATGAGCAGGACCAGAACCTGCCCGTGGGGAGTCAGAGGTGTTAGTAGCTGAAGTGGATACTGAGTCACCAGCTGTTTGCTTCAAGGGCTGTGGCATGGGGAAACCTGGAGTGCCCAAATAGCGCACAGTCAGTAATTTCTTACTAACTTGTATGGTGCCTGCAAGTGTACAGAAGTAGGTGGCTAACTTCCAAAAACATTCTGCCTGCTTTGTCACTTAATATGGAGTTAGGCTGCATTCAAATAGCTCATCTCAGGTTTTTTCATCCTGCTCCTAATGTCACAAGGACAGTTCTGTGGAGAGAACAGCTGTTTGGTGTTTTACAGTCCCTTCTGTCTTGAAAGCATATTTTGTTGGTGTAAGTGGGCCCAGATGCCCTAAAAGCAATTCAGCATTTGGTCCCAAATGTTTAATTTATTATGTTTAGGGCACTTAATGATAGGAGCTCTGATGTTTAACACATTTGTTTGTATTGTTACCCAGTTCCATTTTGCTGAGAACTAAACTTTCCAGTGAAACTGCAGAGGTTCTTTTTGCACTGCCGGCGTCTGTGTAGTTTTGCAGACATAGTGGCATGAATAGGATCAGGTTATCCTTAGCAGCTGGCAGATACTAATTTTCTCCCATTTTCCCATCTATTAATTTTGCTTGCATGAAACCCATTAGTGAAGTGTGGTTGCATATGCCTATTAAGAAAGAAAATAGTTAAATGGATAGGGAGAAGAAAAGGTTCCATTTGAACAGATTGTACATGAGTGGTTTCCTTGATGGTATTTTTAACAGTTAGAGGAAGAAAGCTTTTGTCCTCTGTAGTTGCCTGCTTGGAGTCTAGGTTGCAATTTCCTCCAAATTACATAAATGCTTAATATAAGCAGCATCTACAGTTATCTTCAACTCCTTTCTAAAAACATACCCATCTGTTTGTACATTCAGTACAGATACTGGGAGATTTGTTTTCTCTGGGAAAGCTGCCTGCACAGAATGTCTCCAGATCTTAAGAGGAGACTTATATCTATCAAACAGCCTTTGTAAAACAGTTGTGAAAATTTCCTAGCACTTGGAGCTTTCTCTCTGCTGCTCTCACTGGACTTCTGGCATATAGGTATGGAAAAAGGATAGATAAAATGTAGAATTGTTTTTGTTGGCTGTGAGGGAGTGGGAAGAGCTATTAAATGTGCAGAAGGTCCTCTGAAAGTCAGAATATCAGTACACTTGGTGTGAGATTTAGTGTGGCTCATCAATACTGTGTATTGTTTACCTCGGAGTCCCAATAGCCTTACTGAAGAGCATTCTTTGTTGTCTTGCTCTCTTTGTTTTTGTGGGGTTTTCTGTTTATCTTATAAAACTTGGACTGATTCTCAGTAAAAACAGTGACATTTTCAGACAGATCTTCCTTTTTCACTCTTTCCCCCTGCCCTTTTTTTTTCCAGTGTCACTTTTTCATTAGTCCCATGTTGATCTGCTGTCTTGAATTTATTGGTAGGTGAGACCACTGTCTGTAGGTTTTATAGTGTTGGTTTACAGCACTTGGATAGGATGTGGGTGACTGGAAATAGTGGTAGCTCCTTGGGGCAAATTCCTCAGGTAGAACTGTCACCTATTTAACAACAACAATAATAATAATAGTAATACTTTCTCCTGTTCATTATTGACTGTAATACTGGAAGGGATACAGACTCTTGTGGTCACATCACAAATGCAGATACAGGGAGTGCAGTGGAATGCTGTGCTGCTGTCCGAGTTTCTCTACTCCCCCGGGGAGGGGAGGAGGTCGCACCGGCTGAGCTGAAGGCACGGCAGCCGACAGCCGGGGGGAGGCACTCCCTAGATGCGCCGGGGCGTCCCGGGAGCGCCTCAGCAAGGGGCAGCAGGGAGCAGCAGGCAGGCGAAGTAGAAGAATGAAGAGAGGGACCCTTCCCGGGGGTAAAATCCAGAGCCTTTTATTACTCCAGTGCACCAGCCGGCAGGGACCACGAGTCAGGGAAAACAGCAGCTTATAAAGGGGGTGGGAACACGACACATTGACCAATGAGGGCGAACTGGGGAGTGAACAAACTCGTGAGAAACATGCCGGCTAGCCAGTAGGGAATGTGACAGGGAGGGACCCTTGGTCCCGATCCAATCACCCACCGAAGAAAGGAGAACTTTCTAGAATATGGGAAGGAGACAGTGGGTGATGGACAGGAACTTGGGGAGGGATTGACAGAAGGTAACCAGGGAAACAGGGGAGGAGAGAACGAATTGACACTCTCAGAGAGAGAGGTTCCAGGGGAGGGGGAAGGGGGATCCCAGGACCGAACCATTATAGCTTTAGGGGGTAACAGAACACACCAAATGAATCCTGCAACACAACAGTGGAACCTTGCTGGTAGAGAGTTTTGTGCTGTGCATGGTGTTATGTCTCCTCACGGAACAGCTTTTGCACAACTTTGTATGAGTGCCTTTACTTATTTTTTCTGCTCATGTGTCTTTGTCTGATTTCTTCCTGTCTTCTCTGTGGGGATCTGAACAATGGGGAAAATTTCATAGACTTTTTAAAAAGAAGCTTTTGCTGATGCTTCAGAGTTGCTTGTTATCCCTTTACAACCCCAGTCACCTGCCCAGGTTTTGTTTGAGTGAGTAATGCATGGCACTGTGGGTCACAGGGCTCTGGATCAGGACCCAGTCTGTCAGGAAGGGATAATTTACACACACACAGCCCCCAGCTCTGTGTCCCTAGCAGCTGAGCTGACTAGCAAGCACCAGCACTTGCTTGGCAGTTTACAGTCATCTGTATTCACATATGCTGGACTTAAAGCCCAGCATTCCCATGGACTGGTCAGCCAAAGGCATATCTCAGTGTGCTACAGAACAACCCAGCTTTCTCAAATAGTTTTATTTCTTTTCCAAGGTGTTTCTTTCCTGTAGCAATAAGGTTTCTCAGAGTACAGAGTTATGCTGCTAAGACTGTTTTAATTTTTTTTCTTTGCAGGTATTTTTGACTAGGTCTGTCATCTTAATAAATACATCCCTTTCAAGTAATGAAGGCATAAGAACTTGACTTTATATTAGGAAAGTAAAATTGGTAGTTGAAAAGGATTTCTAGTAATGACAAAAGTACATGCTGGTTCTTTGAGGAGTGATTCTTGTTAGTTACTCAAGTCCTGAATAATACTGCAAAATACCACGGGCAATTAAATCAAAAGATCACTAAAAATTCAATTGCGGCTTTTGTGGGTTTAGCATACTGTGTTCTCAGTAGCAGAAGAAGGCAGGTGTTTGACACTCAACATTCCTGCCCTGAAAAAGAAATGCATTGGAATTTCTGCTTTGATTTGTTTTTGAAGTAAACATTTGTATAGAAGCTATTCATGAAATTACATCAGTTTTAATTTCTCTTTCTCTAGGTTAGTAAGGAAAACAGAAACAGCATTTTGCAAGACATCTTGGCAGCTGTGGAATCCTGCAGAAAATGAAGACCTCTTCTGTCCTGAAAACACTAAAGCTTTCATTTCAACAAAACATTACAACATTTCATGGATGTTTTAGAGTCTGTCCTTCCTACCTTTGCCCCCTCAAGGCTTTACTGGGGCCTTCAGGGTAAGCAGGGTAAAACTGGTAATACTCTAAAATGGGATGGTAGGATTGTAATTTATTCAGTTCACTGAATTGGAAAAAAATTGAACAGATGTGTAGCTAACATCCAGTTTTAATCTGGGTGTTTGGAAGTTAGGTGGTCAACTCTGATCCAAGTTACCTCATGTGAAAACAGCTAACTGTAAAATCTGCTCAGATCTTAGTCTTTCTGAGCATGTTCAGATCAATTCAATATCTGCCTACAAATCAATTCAATATCTGCAACATAGCCCTGGTGCAACAGAACAGAACCCTGTCCAAAATGTAGATGAGTCCTGCCTGGTTTATGCAGGAGTGTAGCTGTTGGTGACCCAGCTTAGGTGTATTCAGGTGTGTTTTAGCACGGGTGCTGACAAATCAGCAGGTAGAGGGAATAAGCAGATGTGCTCTCTCCTCCTACCCCCAGGCAGCCCTGTCTGCAGTTGCAGTATCAGCAGGGTTATCCAGAGTTTCAAGGAAACTTCCTGTAGTCACAAATGACATTTACAAATTCTATTTTGTGAAGAAAAATAGCCAAATCTACCCTCTCTTACTAATTGATAAGAGGACTGCATTTTGAATTAATTTTCAATTTTCTGGTGGCCATCTTGTCCCACACCCCTTTACAAACAATATATATAAAAATCTTCAAGTCCATGAGTTTAATCAAATCTTGTGTTTTTCATGCTGAGTTTAAGTCATGATTGACTTAATACGCATTTGTCTGTTAATTTTACAATCTGTTATGTTTATTGATACTTATGTTTGTTTGGGTTTTTCTGCCTTATTCAATTCTGTACATGCTTAATGGTGAAATAATAAGTGTTTGAGAATGTTAGACAATGTGTTCCCATGTGAGGAGTTCAAATGTATTCAGCCAAAGTGCTGCCAGTTAATCAGTTTTGCATGTTTGAAAACAGAATTCCCTCCCAGGTGCACACTGTTCGTTGTAAAATTTATGGTCATCTCTAGCTGAGAAAGTTGTTAAAAATTCAGTTGTTTCTTAACTTTTTCTGTTCAGTTCAATAACTGTTAATTTGAGCAAACTATTTAAAGGCATCTTCAAGTATCATTTTATTGATTTATTTCTGTAAAACTGACACCCAGAGTTGTATGGGGCTGGGTGGGGACAGGTATTTTTACACATGCCCTGCGAACACCTCCTAGGAGCATAGAGGGAATGTCCTTTTTCTTTTCTGTATGCAGAACAAGGGTCTGGTACAAGCATTGCACCTCCACAGGTGGTAGGAAGTGCATAAATGATGCCATGGGCTCACTCCCTCACTGCCTTGTGAGGACTACCTGTCTGCCCAACTCCATTTAGAAGTAGTACTGTCTTCATCATATTTGGGGAAAAATAAAACTCCTCTTAGGGCGTCCACTTGGCAATGTACAGTTTGTGGCTGCTATTTGCAAAATCAGATTGTGCTGTAAAGACACACTAATCCCTTAATTTCTTCAGGCATTGTACTCAGACAAAATACCTTTTCAGGTGTGGAGGACTTGGTACCGAAGTAAACTTTGTCAGGGCTGTGTGCCATAGGTTTTTGAACAGAAACCTGTCTTCACCTAAGTGTTGGATGACCTCCTGCTTCAGTGTTAAGTCTCTTAAGCTGTAAAGTATGCTGCAAAAGAATAGTTCTTTCAATGATTAAAGAGTTACCCAAAATCTAGCACATTTTTAGTGGGACTACTGTTGAGTCTTAAATGAGGAGTGACCTTTAAAGCTAAATAAAATATCGAGAGATTTGACATTTCTCTGGTAGAGGCCGAAGAGGGGAGTTCTGTTGAGAGTCAGTCTTCTGAGTTCTGGTTCAGTCAGTATTGCTGAGAGATCACTTTAAGTGGTGTTTATTCCTCATAAAAGTAGATATATTGCCCTGCATGTAGCGCCATGATGCCTGCTGTAGTCCCATCATTTAGTACAGTGGGAAGGAAAAAAGACCCAAGCAATTACAACAAGAAGTTTGGGGAACACTTGATCAGTGCCTATGGTACTTTTAATCCATTGTCTCATGGTTTTGTACTGAGGCTAGATTGTCACTAGACAACATACACATGGATTTTTCCTTCTGTGGAACTCCGAGTGAAATAGCAGCCCTTTTAAACTAATGCATATTTTTGGTACTGACATCAGTGTATCTTGTTTTCTGCTACCTATATCAAGATTGGTGAGTGTCATTAATTTGTTGTCATTTCTTTAAGCCAGTTTTCTCTCTGAGCTAGAGTGCTTTTCAAGAGAAATAAAGAGTTTCTGTGATCTGTGTTCAGCAGGAGAATGTAGATGACCTTAACAGTCACGTCTGGCCTTTAAATCTCAGGTGATCCTGAAGATAGAATTTGCCTGTTTCAAATATACATAGAGTGAGTGATAAAGTTGTATTTCCAACTGCATGTAAGTTTTCATGACAGCCTGTGTTTACTTTAAAGGTAAAATTTTATTGTCTGGTCTTGGCACTAGTAAAATACTTCGAAGACCTTGAGAGCACTGTAACAGCAAACGAAGCATTCACAATTCCCCTGTTGGGCTGATTTTATTAATAGCACACATTTGGTGAAAAGCACCTCTGATGTACCAGCTAGATTCCAGATGACAGCATTAGTGCACCTGCAGTTTTTAATTGGTGCAAAAAAGGGGTGAATGTGAGGTACCAATTACTGTCTTGAAGCCTGAGAATCAAGGATGTTTTTGGCACAAGTCTTGTAATTCCAGCATAAAATTGCACACAGCATGAAATAAACAGGGCCTGCATTATTTATCATGCATTAGGCAAATTTTGACGTGTAAAACTGAATTAGAGAGGTGAATCTTTGATACTGGACCTACTGCAAAGTTAATTATAAGTAATATGTCTTTGTTGCAGATTTAATGATGTATAAGCACTAGTGAAACATGGTAATTAAGTACCAGCTCCTAATCCAGAGAGTAATCTAAATATGGCAATAACTGGGTATTTTAAAAAAATGCATTGAAGAGATGATTATCACATGCTGGAGAATCTCACTGGTAATTCTAATCTTCTGTAATGAGCTGTGCAAAATTCAGCAAATCTTTAACTTAAATTTTCCAGTTGGTGGGCTGGAGGCAAATGCAGGTGACATTTCTTGCCTTATTCTAATAAGCAGTTTTTATAAAAAGCTGTGAATGACATCACAGAGTGTCCTAAGAACTTAATAGTGTCAGAATGTCATTCATAGATATTATCTAGTCATCATGTCAAGAGAAAAAGATTCACATTGGTAAGTCCTTTTCATTGAGATTTGTTTTCAGTGAAGTGAGTACTAAGATTTGGGAATGAGGTGAGACTTTTCAACAAGAAACTTCAGTTCCTCGCAGAGAAGTTGCATGACACTACAAAATGGAGGGAACAGCCAGCACCTCTGTTTTTTATTTTTTGATGAACTGAAATGTGCTTTGCAGACTACATCCATTACAGGTTCCTACTTGCTGGCTGTGGTGGGAAGCACCTGGGCTGAAGGTCAGGCTGGGGCTTGCCAGTGTTCCTGGTGGATGTGAGCAGTTCAGCACCCTGTGCTTGGCTTTAGTAAAAAGTTACTGAAAGTCTTTTTGCCAGATCTTCAGGCCATCTTTCACCATTATGAGTGTAGCAACTGGCTTTTACTCTATGATGTAAACAAGAGTCTATTTGGGAAAGGAAATTCTAGGAAAATAAAATGTGAAGAAGGTAAGTATCCCGTGCTCAGTGCAAAGGCTGAAGTACTGTGTTTATGTTTGTTTTACCATATACTCATTATCCCTCCTGTAACCTGTTGTATTGTTTGTGTCCCTCTCTGGTTGCTGAGGCAGTGTGAATAAAATCACTCTTAGTGTTTCTTTTCAGCAATGATGTTATCTGAGGTTAAGCTGGTGGGAGGCAGAAAAGGCCTCCATCTCTTCATCCCTTCTGACTTCTATGAAAGAACTGCATGTACAAATGGTCTTGTGGATTGAGCACTAGATTTCCTCAAAGGATGCATTCAGCTTGCTAATAAGATGGGAATGTCACTATTTTCATGTTGTAGAAACAGTAACATTCTGGACTGAGTGAGGTAAGTGGCCTCCGCAGCTCTGGAAGAATCAAGCATAGCACCTGACGCAAAAAAACCCTGATGGAACTCTTGGTAAAAGGTCCTTGCATTGTTGAGGTGAACAGCCCGTGTGTGGAGACAAAAGGCTTGACTCCATTTCAGAAGGTTGATTTATTCCAATATATCTTATACTAAAACACTACATTATACTAAAAGAACAGAGAGAAAAGAAAGATCAGAAGGCTACAAAGAACAGGAATAGAATAGAATGCATAACAAAATCCTGTGACTGCTCACAGCCTTGGCACAGGTGGCTGTGATTGGTCATCAGTTGAAAACAATCCACATGGACCAACTGAAGATGCACTTGTTGCATTCCACAGCAGCAGATAGTTATTGTTTACATTTCTTTCCTGAGGCCCTCAGCTCTCAGGAGGGGAAAAATCGTAGGAAAGGATTTTTAATAAAATATCATGGCTACACTTACATGGTGGTGGCAGCATCTTTCCTGCGTCACAGCTGTAGCAAGAGATCAGACATGTAGGCAAGCTGTTAAGCCTGAGCAACTTTAGGGCCAAGTTTTAACAGTGTTCAGCATTGTGAAACCCATCAGCAGGGTCACACATGACATATAAGCAGTGAAAATCACATTTGCTTTTCATTTAAAGGCTGAAACCTGCTCCAAAAATGGTGTATTTCCATCTTGCAACTCTGAGGCACATTGTGTGTAAGGTTAAGTATCGAGCTGTTTTTCAGGAGTAAAGGTGTCACTCAAAGCCTTCATGTGTATGTAGGCACTGGTGTTGAGGACTCAGGTGCCTTTTGGTATTATGCAGAGCTGTTTGGAGTAGCTTATTGTTCAAATTAGGCTTTGTGTAAAGGTTAGGTTCCTATTTATTAGCTTGGTGTGCATCAGAGCCCTTAAATGCACCTTCTGTCCCAAGCAGAGTTCACTGGGTATATCTCTACCTCATGCAAAAATAGAGGAGTCTAAGATACAATACAACCTCATCCCTAGTTGCAGGTGTTGTTTCTAACCGTTATGTCAGATTATTCTGTAGGTTTGTATCATATTTAAAACTGATGCTTATAGCAGTAGTCTTACTACTATAACAGCAGACTATATCCAAAAATACAGAAAACATAACATGGGAGTTTGTACTCAATTTGATTCTTTTTTCCTATGTTACGCTTGTTTGTTAGTCGTCGCTCTTGGGTTTTTTCAACCCACTATGCTACAATAGCAGCTTTAAGGCAAAATAAAAACTATGTAAGACATGGCTACAAAAAAGGAACTGATTTTTGACTCTTACCTTGACTCCTGTTTTGCCATGCTTGCTCACTGTGACTCCACGGAGGCGTTAGAACCTGCCCTTTTTGGCAGCCACCTTGCGCAGCAAGAGTCTGCCAAAGTTATGGCATAACTGCTGTCCCCAAGAACTTATGCTCCAGGGGACAGTGGGAAGTCAGGAACTGTGAGGCAGCTGCGTTTTTTTAGGATGCAGTACGAGAGGCTGTGGAGATGGTGGAGTCTTGCAGAAGATGTGGTGCTGGAGGAAGGTGCTGTCACTGGGCCTCCATCCATGCTAAGTAAATAGTACTTTCAGCAGTGGTTGCTGCTGAAAGAATTTGTGCGGTCATTCCCCAGTCTGGTTTAGTATGCTTGAGTTGGATACACAGAATAATTTAGGTTGATTGGGACTACTAGAATTACTTATTTTTGATGGAAATTGATTCAAACTCAAAGATGTGAAAATTGCAGTGATGCTGGGTGAATATGGGAAAGTTTTCGGTGCTTTCGAGACACCTGTTTGCCCTGCCTCCATGCAGGAAGACAAAGCAGTGATGGTTTATCCTGTGGACTGCCATGCAAAAGCCCGCAAAGCAGAAACGGGGCTGGTGGCTGTTAGTAGGAGCCTACCTCAACAACCTCCATCCTTCACTTGTAATGAAGCACTTCATGAACAGTGTGGTGGGACAAGAGTTATCATCAGCCAGTCAGAAGGGAGCAGCTCAGCTCAATTCAATTT